ACAGATACATACAGAAACATACATACACATTTTAAGGGTGTGTGGAGTACACCGACTAACCCACTCCCTCCACCACACCCTTCGCAGATCTGGCGGCCGTTGTGGACCACAACGACACCGCTCAGAGCGCCAGCTTTCGCGCGCTCACATCGTCTCTGTTTGAGCCACAACCACAGCCCACTCCATCGCCTGCCGACGATCACGTGGGCATGCTTGTGTGTGACGAGGATATAGGGAGTGTGCGTATGGGTTCGGGAGATACGTCAGTGGGGTACACCGATCGCGCGGCGTTGTATGAGAAGTTGCAGGTATGCGGGGTTTTTGTTTTGGTGTGTGTTTTGAGTCCTTGCTATTGCTAGTGTTTATTCTGGTTTATTATGGTTTGTGTTGTTATGGTTTATTATGGTTTGCGTTGTTATGGTTTATTATGTTAGACGTTGTTTATTGAAGTTGTTATGGTTCATTATACAGTGAAGATGTGTACGCTGTCGCCCCCGTGTATGTACTTATGTATATTGTAATGGTTTATTATTTATGCTGTTATGGTTTGTTATGAGATATGTTGTTATTGTTAATTATGATTCATGTTATGGTTTTTATGATTTATGTTATGAGTTATCATCATTAATGTTATGGTTTATTATAAAGCAAAGATGTAGCATTGGGTGGTAGGGTACGTGTATGTCTTTAAGTAAGTTGTAATGGATTATCATGTTTGCTGTTATGATTTATATGATTTATGTTGATATGGTTTATTATGGCTTCTGTTGTTATGGATATCATATAGCAAAGATGTAACATTGAGTGGTACATGTTGAATAGTTATAGTCCGGTTTGCGAGTGGAGTGTCGATTCTGCTACCGGCGGGTGCGTTTCCTCAGGTTACTAATAAGGTCCGTCTTTAGGTCACTCGATATGTATACATCTTCGTATTGGGACCGAACTGTCCCAAACCGCCCCTCGTGGAGTTCACATTGCACCTAACCGGGCCCTTCGGGTTACCACTCAGCCAGTTGTCACGTGCACACTTGACCTTGTAAGCGCTTGGTGGTGGTGGGTGCGTGTGGTGGGCTTGATCCAGTAGTAGCTAACCATGCACATCTCTGCACGCTCATGCACTGCTCAGGTGTTCTTCCCAGCGTCCATGAAGCAACCGTCTGCCGATCTGATTGAGCTGTTACTTAGTCTCAAGAAGACTTGACAATCGTCCACGTGGCACAATAAATGAATAAATAAATACTTAAATAAATGGCTTCTGCTGGCTCAGAAAGCAGATAGTTGGTGCATAGCCCTCTAAAGTGACAAAGGCTATGATTGGTTGGTGGGCGTTTAGGGTTTTAATGTCCTGATGTGACGTACCAATCGCGAGCCACTTTGGTCAGTGTTACGCTGGCTGTATTACCAGAATGCACCTATTCTGAACCTAGTATATGTAGTACTTTTCAAAAGAAAACACATGACAACTATTGTGAACATATATAGTAGAGTAAGTACTTGGTGCTTCAAAATAAATTAAAATAGCAAGTAAAGATTTAGAGCATTTTACATATCACTATCACTGCATTGTCCTTCCTCAAATGAAATGCCTTGGCATCGTTTGCTCACATCATGAATACAAAGTCTGTATAATTCAGAAGGCTACGATAAAAAGGATCAGAATGAGACTCATGAGAGAGCAGACAAAGGTATCAACATGAACAGGCGAGTCAGGATGTCAAACGTCAGCCGTCACAGACTATTGATCAGACTTGAGCATAAAGTTTGCCAACTCGACTATTTACAATATGTATACACGTGTTTACTTCCCTTCAGATTGTTGAGTGGTCCGTACGAGACCAATATAATGTTAAGATATCCTCGATGCACTTCGCCTCTAGCCGAACAGAACAGCCTATGCATTTATCCAGTTGAAAGGAAAGATATCACACAACATATGTTTCTACTTATTCAACTTTTGAAACCTCCCAGCTGAGTAAGAGTCACACGAGACTCGCTTCTAACATGTCTGTCGATCCCTCTACCATCGTCCCCAATGACTCTGTCCTAACGAGTAGTACTTCAGGGCAAGTGAATGCTGCAGTAGTCCTGCTAAGATGGCTCTGTACTGACCACCGATTTACTTAAAACCTAAAACCACGACTATGTTATGATGTCGTCCCGACCATCAGGCAATCGACTTGTCAGCGTCTATACTTTGCTAATCCGAAATTCCACGCACATAGTTTGATTCTCACTATGCACACCAGGGGTCACCCACCGCCCATTAGGCAAGTATGCTGAGTTGTATCAAAAGATGGGGTTAGTGACTATTACCACTACAGCCCCGGCCGAGGCGCTTATGTTCTCTGGCACAAGTACCGTGCGGGAACTAGCAGCTTCTGTATTAAAGCATGTAGTCCACTGCTGTGTGTGCGAGTGAGGATACGAGTGTGCGTCCGTGTTGTAACCGGCGCTATGTGTGATGTATGGCTGGTGTGGTTTTATACATCTGGTGGTGAAGTTGGCGTATCATATTAGTGTATGTCCAAGGAATATGTATTCGAGTTACGCAAAGACGCTTCGTTCCTTGGTGAAACAAGGCCATGGCAGTAAATCGTCGATTGCAATGCATATAAATGAAAAATGAATTCGATTTATCTACCTACAGTCTGTTATTGCGAGATATTCCGGTGTATTGTAAGTTTTTCTTGCCTTTATCCTGCTATGCGGTAATGCTGTTGGGTTGTACCGGATTCATATTAATTTTTGGTAAACACTGTTGCCGCCGTCTGTATATACTATTCTAAGTACAGCTTTTGAGCTTTAATCATATACGTGTACCTGCACCATATATATATACATACATACTCACACACACACACACATATATATATATATATTTATATACATATATATATATATATATATATGTACATACTTCCATACCTACATACATTTACACCGTACAAATACATATACACACACAAATATACATATACTCTCCCACACATAACATACACATATATATACACACACACACGCACACACACAGTACGCAC